AATTTTCACTGACAGTGATACTGACTATAATTTCTGATAAAGCACACATCTTATTTCTATATAACAAAATGTCAATACACACCTAATAGAATTTCCTTTGTGAAAATTTTCAACCAGTAAGCTTAATTCCAGAAACATTCAACCATTCACTTCTTAACGCTTCAATCAGTCAGCATTAAGTCTGCATTTAGATAAGCTCCAAAGCTTTCTCAACCCATATCAAATAATAGAACCTAAGTTTTATTAACTGACATGGGTTGATAAAGTATTGGAACTTATTAAATACAGACTTAATGCTGACTGATTGAAATGTTAAGCCATTTATGGTATACTGGTTGAATCTATTTAGAAACATTAAGAACAATTTAGTAATCTATACAGTAAAAAAATAACCTATATTTTAAAATTCAGGACAACTTATTTGTAAAAATTCAAATTTGCAAAAACAGACAAAAAAAAACAAATAACTTGCAATATTACTGCTGTTTGTAGTCTTGAGACAACTTTAAACCAAGTTATGAATATTATAAAGTAATAATACACCATAATAGCATTGTACAGCCATCATATCTGATGTGTTTCCTAGAGCTAGACTGTACCATAAAATAAGATTGGTAGGCTACTGACCACTGATTAGGCAAAAAAATTAGCCCACAAAATGATTTTTTTATGGTAACTGTTTACATTCCTTTCATATTTAGTTCAGAATTTGTCAAAGGAACTATTAGAAATATTAAACAAATAATGATCTGCCTGTTAACCAACTTGCTAACCCTAATTTTCATAACTCTAGGATTGATTGCAGTTATAGATTACAAAGGATGTTGCATGTACTTTTAGGAGGCATGGCTATGATGAGATTAGCGTATTCCATCTGGATCCTGAGATTCCTGGTATGGTGATGGCAATTCTTATGTAATAACAAAGATAAGATTTGTTAGCTGCTTCTGTAAATAAATAATTTTGTTTTGAAGGTCTGTATTTGATTTTTCATAAAACTTACTGATCTTAGGATCTGTGATTTATGACTTAAACAATTATGAATCTGATTATAATGGCCTGAACTGATCTTCATCAAACAAGACCTGCATTCCTTTGTATATTTCAATGGATGGTAGTAATATCTTTCATAGCTTTCTGTATATTCACCTGATAATAAGTTAGGCCTGGTTTATACAGAACATTTAATTCCAAGTGTTGCTTTTACAAAGATAAAAACAAAAAAAGCACAGATACAGCTTCAACCAAGGTTTCATAAACTTTTGATTATGCTGCAAGTACAATTTGTTGATTAGGATCAAATGTAGCAAGCTTAACAAAATGGAAGGAATGAGGGAAAACATTTTTCTATGTCAAAAGAATGATCATGTGTGTGGTACAAATCCAAACAAGTGGACAATTAATCCAGCAAAAGGATTAAATTGTGTGATGGTCCAGGCCCAAATTGACAAGCTTATATTTCTGTAGATATAATTGGACTAAATCTTGTTGGCCTGAGAATAATAAAGCACTTACAAAAATTGGGTTATAGAGTACAGAGAGGGTTTTAGGATAAAAGATGCAAGGTTTAATAATGATATAAAGAATTCTGGTGTAAAAAATTGAATGGAAACTTTCATCACTTTGACTAATCAATTGCAGCTTCAAGAAACTGTGAAAGCAGTGAAAAGGATACACAACTAGGTCAGATCTTGCAAAGATAACCCTGTTTGTGAAAAATAATATAAAGGTCCGAGGTTCACTAACAGTGTATGGATAAACTATGATAATAATAATTTAGGTACATCATCTGGTAGAAACATTTATAAAAAGTTACTAGAAAGCGTTTAATGTTTTATTATGTATATGCTTTAAATAGATAACTATTGAGTATTTAAATTTTATAACAGAACATCTGTATTAAAAGAAAAATGTGTAATGTTTTTAAACTTTCTATGCAATAATCAATTTAAAGCTGAAACTAGAAATAATGGGAAACTTGTAGACTTGTACATTATATATAGCTTGTAGCAAATAGGAGTGGAAAAGTCTAGATACATCTGCATATATCATGGATATGTGATATACCTTTCTTTGTGAATGGTAGTTTATGAACACATGGCTAAATGATCAGGTCAAAGACTGCTATAGTTTTGTTATTAGTGCCTTATTGGCACTGGATGTAGCAGATATAGCATGATTGACATATTCTTATACAGTTACTTTCATAAGTTCTTAGAATTAAAGTGAAGTCCACTTCATGCTGATATGGCACACAGGAGCCAATGTTGAACCACAGTTTCAATCACACAAGTGGATAAGAATAGTGATACATTTTCCCCTGGATGGAATGCCAGTTCATCACAGGTACCCATTATACGGCTGGGTAGACTAAAACAAGAGGGGTAAAGTGTCTTGCTCAAGGACACAACAACATGGCACTAGTACGCCTTAAACTCTCAATCTTCTTACTACGAGTCTAAAGCACTGTGCCACACTGCCCCAGTGATTATGATATGGCCATCCAAAATTTTTAACTACCCAATAGGGTAGGGCAAACAGTTAGCAGAACCTGCTGCCACAAAGGCTATTTATTTCATTGATCGTAGCTTGGCATGTAAACATTAGGTCATGTCCAGCTCGTCAGTATAGTAGACTAAATATGTAATAATATTATAAAATATTTGCAAATTATTGTGCATTTATGATGTTGAAACCAGAACAAAAATCTATTCATGTGTTGTCATGTTTTTCTATGAAATACTATGTCAAGGAGGAAAGAGTGTTTAGCAAGTTCATGGGACACGTAGATCATATGAATAGAATGAAATTTACAAGGCATCGAAGAATTTTGGAAACACTTGAAAAATTTCATCGAGACAACTGTTTAACACAGTTTGTTGCACATGCAAGATAAATGTTACAATAGTTTTTTTTACAGCATGCAATCACTATAGTTCAAAATGTGCTTCACCAGTTACATGCAAAACATCCAGGCTGTACCAAGAACTCCCACGAAGTGTTTAGTAACATTGTAGGAGTAACTTTGTGAAGGCTTCTTCCATACATGGACACAATTCATCATTACTTACAACCTTAGTAGCATAAACCATGTCCTTTATGAAGCCCCGTTAAAAATGAAATGTCTGTTTATAATGTCTTAACAGTAGCCCCGACAAAAAAATAAAATAATAATGATGGATCAGTAATAGTTTTATGGGTAGTTTCTGCCCAGATGTTCACTTTTGGACATTTTCTCCTATGTTCACATGACATATGGGGATTTTTCAGAACCCAATATACAACAGTTACATCCAATAAAAATTATTTTCCAGGAATCCATTCATGGTTTCCAACCTGTTCAGCATTTCCACTGCACTGTCATAACATTTTTGTCAGTCTTCTGGTAACAAAAGTTGCATGATTTGGATTTGGTGTGTGTGCAATTATAATCGATGATGCAACACAACTCGTGGTTGATTTGTAGATCACCACTTTCAGAGATGCTTGATGTACAGACTTAGAAGTATTTCTTTACAATGCCTCCTGCACATGATCAACCAGTACCCTGCTTTGTAGAACAGTTCCTATTGTCAAAAAATGATGAAACCATTTGTGAATGCCCTCTTGTAAGTGGATAACATCATTTGAATTCCATGTTCGCCTTTATAGGGAATTCAAGTTTGGGAAACCACACTGTTCACATTCTGCTCTGTAGTTGCCATTTTGCATAAGACTTGAAATCCCATATTTCTCAGAAACCTAATGTCATTCATTTGTGCCATATAAATCTTTAAACATTATTCTTGCACATGCAACAAACCGTGTGTCTCTATGTTAAATGGTTTTGTGAGAATGATTTTTTGAAAGTGTTTACAAAATTCTTGGAAACCCAGTATATATATATATATATATATTTCAAAATTTTAAATTCAGTTTGTTGTTAAGTGCAAAGCTACACAATGAACTCTGTGCTGAGCCAACCATGGGTATGAAAATCCGATTTTATAGCCCTAAAACTATGAGCCACTACAGGGCTTTAAATTTGGACTCTGTAAAACAGAAATTTGCAAGTATTCAGACTAGCTTAAAAGTATGACTTATATTTAGTTATACAAACAATTTTACTGCATGAAAAAGGGTAAATAGGCACAAATGCAATTACAGATAATTCCAGCCATTACAATCAAGAATGCTTCAAGCACTTGTCTCTGACATCTTGCTGCTAACTGGACACCAGAGTTACGTAGCATATGAAGTGTATATGATTTTTATAGGGTTAGGTGTCACCAGTAAGTGAAATAGTGCTGTTGTATCTGGGACCATTGTTGTATAGTAAAGGGTATTCCAGAAGTAGTAGCATGATCAAAGTATACATTGATGTTTGTATTTCACAAAACTGACAAACAATAGATATAAATGTGTCTTGGTAGTGATGGATTACATACTTATCCTTCCAGAAGCATATGAGCTGCATCAATTCATCTTTAACTTCTTTCAAAGTGTTCATAAAATGTTATGTTATATAAAATCACACAGTACAAACTGTTTGGAGAATCAGAAGTATATTTAATCAAGAAAGTAAATATAATTGTGTACATTACAAATGATAAACATAAAAAATATAATAAAACATCAACTTCAAAAAAGTAAAAGAAATTCACAGACTTATTTCTACAAAGCAAAAGAAATGTTTTTATGTTACACAGTTACAACACACCTTTATCTAAAGTCTATGCCTACAAACAGTAAAATTAACATTATAAAAATTTATTATTTATGTGTAACATTAATTATATATTTGATAAAAGTATTCTTACTAATTACCATTTGTACCATTTAATATACGTGCATTTGTCTTGATGCTACAGAGAAAATACTTTAACACCTTAAAACTTACTCAGTGTAAGAACTAAAACAGGTTTTATTTCGTTGTGGACAGATTTTAAGCATCATAGTAACTGTAAAATAAAGTGCGAGCTAGCTTAGTGTATGTTACTATTAGTGCTTGATTTTTTATGAAAGATTAGTTACATTGAAAAATGAATAAATCACAATTTAATACTTCTTAAAATATGCTTAAACAGTGCTCAAATAAAATACCCTTATAAATTCTTAACACAAAGAAAAAATTAATGTGTGTATGTATATATATATTATTACAATACACAGGTTACAGATAAAATTTAGGGCAAGTTTGATAATCTTTCTTCGGTGTTTTTGCAGAATCAGTTATGTTCTATCACTAGTATGTAAATCAATGACTATGTATTAATTAAACACCTGTTCAGAAAAGATGACAAAAATAGCAGCAAAAGCTTTTTTTTAAATTACTGCAAAGTCTATTAGCTGTGTGGTACATGCACATGATTGTCATAGAACACTAATTTGTATTCCATTATTTTTCTCAAATTGCATTCCACCCTTGAAACAATTACAATCTGATTAGTGCAAATATGCAGAATAAATACAGTCCTATCAAGTTTGTTTACTTCAACACAACTTCACAATGGAAACTGAGCCCTGGACTTTAGTGTTGTAACTTACTGCTGGCCCACCAAAATACATTTTATTAATACAATTAATATAACATTTTAGAGACATTATTACATTATTTTATCAACTTTTAGTTTGGTGAACTTTATGTGCAGATATACATTAATACTGAATTTAGGCTAAATCTGTTTATGTGCTCCCGCAGTTTTATTTTTCAATATAGCATGCTTTTTAAGCATTTCCTATTTACTATCTCTAAAAGAAACAGTTTTTAGACAGTTTGACATTTTCCCAAATATTTTGTTAACCAACTTGTTAAAAAATTATGTATGAAGAACATGTCTGCCATTTCACAGTGGGCAGTATCAGTTCTATATAATGCACATGGTTTGAGCAACAATAAAAACATCACATACTTGAATACAATTGTGCAGTGAAATGTTTTAATACTTTTTTTATCGTTTTAGTAGTAAGTTGCTGCACAAAGTCTCAGATCTCTAAAAGTGAAGTGTTTGTACAACACACTTCTTAAGCTAGTATCTAATGTGTCAGGAAGAGAATCATAAAAGTAACAGCAATATATATATATATATATTTTGTAAATATTTAGTGTATATATAAATTGTGACACTCAAAGAAATTAAAGATATTTATACAACAAAATTTCCAGTTATAACACTGCATTTTCAGTAGATTTTCTCATCAAAAAATAATTTATCTAAAGTTATAAGAAAGTCCAGATTTTTTTTTGTACAAAATGAAACAATTTTTGAAATAGCTTTTGCTAAATATTTAAATATTATTTATATAATTGGTAATAAATTTACCAACAGTATTTTGACTTAAGGTGAACTGTGTAATATACTTACAGTTGGCATATATATTTAAATCTAAAAAAGAAAGGATGTACACTGAATAGAACATCTATGTATGCATACATCAGCAATACAATTGACAGTAGACACCTATAATGCACTTCACATATTAACAAAATGCAATATGACATAATATAAAAACTCTTTTTCAGATTCTTATATTTTAATACCATAACAAGCTAGAAAGTAATATAAAAAATTAAAGCAATGTATAAAATATTTGCAATCAGATCAACTTGGGAATGACCAGTTTTGGTACAAAAAATATAAAACATAAATTAAGCATAAAAATCTGCAGTTTCACATAATCTGACAGTTAACAGATGCTAATTGACCTTGAAATTTTTTAACTTGGTTAATTCATTTGTGAGGGTAAAACCCGCAACAAGCTGAAAGATAAATGTACAAGAACAATATATACAGAAAAAAACAGATCATTTAATTTCAAAATGTTGAAAGGTTTGAGCTCATAAGCTTTTTAACCAGCTTCTGAAAGGACAAAAGAGAAAATACATCTTGCGAGGTTTAAGTTTCATAAATTTCTGAGGGATGGTACCTGAAATGAAAGAGTTATTAAATATCATATATGTCTCCTTTTACCTCAAAAAAATAAAAGTGAGCATACTGGTTACTTCTTATTAATATACAAATCAAACACTGCAATAACTTTCTATACTTTCCATTTACTAATTCTGTATTCATGAAAATGTGCCTACTGCAAATATTTGTAGATACAATACAAAAAATATATCGGTACCTATACATATAGTTAACAAATCACTTCACAGTAATTTTACTTACTAATAAACATGAATATATTTTGCATTTCTAATTACCATATACAAAAGTAGATGTGCTAAATTACTACAGTTCTGAAATACACTGGTAATAATGAAATGTTTGTTTAACAAAATGTTCTTTTAAGTCAACTTGGTTAGGGCAATAAAAACGTTTTTACACATAAAAATTTTATTTTATTTTTTATTTTGAAGTACCTGAAGGAGTTAAATTTTGCAAAAGAATCCATAACAGACTGTTGAAGTTTTAAGTAAAAAGTTTACTGAGATAACATATCACCATTTATTATAAAACTTTTATCAGTCCTTTCCATTTGAAAGCTCTTTCTTAGATCACTCCTCAGGCATGAATGACTTCATATATCTTTCTCAACAGATTATTACATTTTAATTAAGGGTCCAAAGATACAGCTTTTGAGTGGATTGTTTATTTTTATTTCACTTTTTTTACAACACTTCGACCAATTGTGTGGCCATCATCAGATAAATGCCTTAGGTTATAACTAAATAGGCTTGTATGTAATTTGTAAAAACTTGTATTCTTTCTTAATGATTACATGCTGAAAGTTGTAATCCCTTTTCATCAGTCTTTATCCCCAGGTTTTGGGAATATATTAGAGACAGTTACCTGATGATGGTCAAAACGTTGTAAAAAAAGTTAAATAAAGAATCCATTCAAAAGCTGTATCTTTGAACCTTTATTTAAAGTGTACAATGGATTTCCGTTCCTCACAACAAGATTATTAAATTGTCCTGAAACAACTAATCAAGCAGGAAAATATCATTAAACAAACTTTTCTTAATTAACAGGTGATTTGTCAATATGCACTAATGAGGAACTAATGTTTCTGTTTCTTGTAAAACTAGGATTTTCCTTTTCTTTGGCTGGCCTGTAGTAGTTTCTCTTAATCACCAGTCTTTTTTTTTTTCACAGATGATATTCTCATAGACCTCCTCACTTATAAAATTGTGTACCTCCTTCAATTTGGAAGGTATGTCTACGACACTTTTTTACAAGTCCATAATGTCTCCAAGATCAGCTCAATACTCTAAGAATAACTTTTAAACAAATTTTATTTGTAAATGTTCAGTTAAGAAGTTCTAATCTATTTAACTTCCATGTCCTGGTAACTCATTATTATTCAGGTCTTTGACTCTTACAAGCAAGAGAACTGTTGAATGCAAAGATTACATTTAAGTGGAAAAATTCAATCTTACATTAAACTTCAGAGTTCCTTATTTCCCAGCTTAGTTAATACCATATTCTTCATTATTTATATCATCAAGTACAGAAATAACCAAGAATGCCTTTGCTTTGTCATTGCAGAATTAATGTTAGAGCAAATTTTAAAACCAATCCCATTCATACATTTTCTAAGATTAGCTCTTTCCATGGGATTATAATAGCCTTTAATTGGTTAGGTCAATCTTTTCTGTTCCAATGTTTCAGTCAAGAAGAAGCACGTGTAACTTTTTCAGTCAAATATAAATTCATCACTTTCCTAATTGACAAGATTCCTAAAACTCGTATAACAAGTGGAATGTTTCCTCTTCTTCATGTCTTTATCACATGCAGATGGTAAAATTTCAGTTTAGGAGATAAGTTATATTTTTCTTGTATTTTGCAAACAACAACTTAAAAGTACTTATTAGAAGGTCAGAAAATCATGATTTTATTGTTTAAACATACTTTCGGCTCATATCACCTCTTTGGATACATGTATGGTCAAAATGTACATGCCATAACCATTTTTAATTTTTAGTCACATTCAAAATTTACTTAATTTGCTTTACTAGCAATGTATACCAATAAACTCTGCATTAAAATGTAGTTTATAATCCAAAATGTGATATTATTCAAGTCTTAATTCCTTAATATCAAAAAGAAATACTTAAATAAATTCTAATTCTTCCCTTTCCTGTGTTATGTGACACTCTATGCTCTGAATTCACATTTTCAGATTTTATTTTTTCCCTTTATTTGAGTTTCAGTGTCCACCAAATAGATATATAAACTATAGATATTGATAGGCCAGAATATAAAATGAGAAACTCCCACCTTCTTTATTTTCTGAGATTACAATAAAGTTATCAAACACCACAGAAACTCATCCCAACTCATGTTCTGGAAATCATGAAACTTGTCAAATGTACATGTGTATAAACAATATAAAGGCAATTTTATTAACTATCCAATTCTGATCTTTGTCTGTTTTGTTTTCACAATAAAAGCAGCTATTTCATAAGTAGATCATGATGTATGTATACAGAAATTAGTGCTCAGAACAGTAGTGAAAGTTTTAACCTATTTATAGCTTAGTTAGGAAGCCATATAAATTACAGTAGTTTTGAGATATTCTACTTCGGTGTCCAATACACATTTTGTGTTCTAAAATGCATGTTTGACAGCTACATGGATTATTATACTTTGAAAAAGGAAAGCTTATGAAAAAGGTACCTGAGTGCAAACTGACCTGGGGCTAAGGTAAGTGCTAAATTTCTTGTTTTACATATATATATATATTTCTTATTTTTTATATATTTTTTAGCAAAAGTAAATAAATGTAAAAATTAAAAACTTTAGGTTATACAAGAAAATTTTAAAAACAATTTCGTTATCATTCCCTGAGGAACGTACAGGGTTAGACATCACATGATGTAACTTAACTTTGTTTATACGAAGCTATTTGCACTCTAGCTAGTTGATTTATTTCTTATTTACACAGTTCAAAGGGCAATAAAATAAAAATAATTAAAACAGATGTGAAACTGCTATGCACTTGAAATTTGTATAAATATTTGTAATGGTCTGTTACACTCTTCAGTCATTCAAGAAAAAAATTTATTTTTAATTCTATCTCATATTTTTCAATTTTTGATACACATGAATTTGCTACAGTTAGTGTTTGGGTAGAAAAAAGAAGACAAAGTAATAGAGCTTAACTAAAAAAAATATTCATTTAAGAGGTTCTTTAGGTTATAAAAATGAAATATGACAAATCACCTTTCACTCAGACTGACTTAGTAAAAGGCTTCATAAATTCACAGGAAAATCTTTAGTAAGAATACTTTATAAAAAATCTGATTTTTGGTGTACAATTGAGTTGTAATATGTACTAAAACTTAACAAATTTTATGCAAATACATTTAGTGCATTCGTAGTTATAGTATGTATGGGTTCATGGTGGATACAAGGGCAGTCAAAATGACTGAGCCCACATATAGAGATTGAGTTGGCATTTTAAAAATACAATGGTGATTTTTCAAACTACTACCTATGTACACATATAACATAACTGAGCTCCTTTGTTCACAATGGCACCATACTGAAAAGTTTACTTTTTATTTAATGGTTTTAGATCTGAATTATGCCGAAAGAATATTCTGAAGCATATATAAAGCTAATATACTTACTAATGTGATGTAGGTTTATGTTTTGCTATTGATACATCTCTAACAGTTCATGGTCAGTGATTATGTTGTTTTAACCTAAAATTATCAGTTTGTTTTTTGTATCATTCACTATCAGTACAGTACACAAACTCTTGCATATATGGTTAAATGAAAGGTTTATTTTGAAATTTGTGAGTAGTATATGTGTGTAAGTTTTCGTTGATAATCTGTGAATCTTCAAGGAAGTATACTTGCACATAACAAAATGAACCCTTGTGTTGTTGTTAATAACTATTAATCTATGATTTTAGCTATTCAAACAAGGAACCCCATTGGCTTTTTTTAAACACGCTTTTCTAAACTATGCACCAAATTGCTTGAAGGTTACAGAATCCTTCATAACATATGAATTACAAAAAAAACCTAAAATACCAAAATTTGTGCAATTAATTACTGTTGTTTTACCCAGTTATTTTGGTCAGTTCTTTACAATGAGTATTACAATAAGCAAAAACGTAAAATTACTCAATAAGATGCAGTGGGGGTCAAAGTGCATAGGCCATGACCTTTTACAGAGTGCCACTCAACATGTTATTATGTATTTCAGCAGATATTTCTTTTGCAACAACTCAACCAACAATTGGTCCAGTTATCAACACTATTTTCAAGTTTTGAACGATTCGACTTTCAAGATCTACGTATCTACGTGAGGCAATGTTTCCATTTATGAACATTATATTTAAGATCTGTGCAAGAACTCAGCTAACAGATGTTTCCATATGTAAATAAATTTCAAATTGTTTTTCAGTAAAACTTTATATTTTATGTTATTTTCTGTACCCTAACTGTATGAGTTCGTCAATTTGACCGACCTCATAACCATAAAAAAATTTGAAATAAGTCTAAATTACCCTTTTTGCTTTCTAAGATGACTTCAAATTGTAACATGAAACTACATTTGTTTATCCTAAATAGCTTTAAACTTGTAACTGTATACATCTGTTTACACTTAAATTATATTGTTTCATGAATCTATAAACTGTATCTAACTAATATTCCTGCCAAAGAAGTTGTAAACCACTTGGGAAAATGTGCAGCTCACATTAACCTATTGAATTACATAACACATGTGCTACTTGCGAGTTGCTTGTAAGCATACCTCATGAATTTTTTTTATTATTATTATTCTTTATTTTACCTAATCTAACCTAAATATATTATAATTTTTACATTTTAGTTACATTTATAATAATAAATAAAGAATATACATGAAAAACAAGAAATATAGTACTTACCTGGCTCTGTATTTTTGCTGTTCACTGTCAGTGAAACTTAATCCTGTTTTTTATACTAATGGTACTACTGCACTAAATAATTTTTTATTTAATTAAATAATACATAAAAGAACACAGAATAATAACTTGCAAAAAAGCTAACGATGTCCTATCATAATTTTTCTGGCTTTTTAACTATGCAACAAGATCTGTTCAAAATTAAACCAAGCACATCGATGTGTTTCCTGTATGAATAAAGTTTGAACTAGAAGCCAAATAGACAATTCTATGTGGAGAAACAATGTAATATAGTACATCATTTGATAGATTAAAATTTTGTCGTTTTATTGATTATAAATAATATAGCATTAAACGTAAGAGAGGTTTGATTTTCTATTTTATGGTTCTGTAATCAAATAAGATCAAAGGCTATAAAAATTATGCTTTGCCTGAATGATGACAACAATGAGTAAGTTACATTGAATTTTGTACTTTTTGGAGGAGTGGTAAATAAATGTGAGAAGAATTCTCACACTAGGGAAAATTCAGGATATTTTTTTTAATATAGCCTTATAAAATTAAGAACTTAAAACTTGTATAATATTGCAGTTTGGATCATTAGGTATATTTTTATACCAAGTTTATTCATATACCATCAAAAGAAAGTAGTTAATTAAATTTTGAATATAACTTAGAAAAACCTTGTGGCATCTACAGAAAAAGATGCCTGTAAAGAGAAGGTTAATAAACAAGTATTAAAATATTTATTACATGCTAATTGGAATAATCTACTTACATTCAGTTTTAGAATACCTAATGACTTCAATTATGCATTACTACCATACCTAATGTATGAAAACATGTTTAACTGACCTGAACAACAAACACAAGTGATTAAAGAGTGATGTATCATACCCTCATTGTTTTCTATTGTCTGTGTACTGGTTTATACTAATGTGTCACAGCTTTAAAGTTTTCTAAGGTCTAAGTAAGGCTTAGCATGGTGTGTCACCCTCTCATATTTTTTGTAAGGTCTAATAAGTACTTGCTTACAGTAATGTGTTTCATCATGATAGTTTCCCAAGTTATGCAAACTTATTTAGTGATATAACACATCCACCAGGTTTTCTGAAATCTGTTTACTGGTTTATAATGAAGAACTACAGGTCTTATTATGCTGATATTGTAGTAAAAAAAAACATTCTTGCAACAAAGGTAAACCACATAATAAGATAAAATATTTACAGAAAATATATTTTGGGGAAAACATTTAAATAAATCCTTAAAAGTTATATATATATATATATATATTTATACTCTTAACAGTCTAAAATTGAAGTATTCCAACTACTTATGATATTTCTATTGACAAAAAGAAAAGATGACAAGTTTTTGGAGTGTAGTTTGCCTGCAAAAAAATAAATGTATTATGACTTATCCAACAATAAGGTATCATAAAACAACTTAAAAGCAAACACTCACCTTAAGAAAAGAAGCCAACCATTCTTTAAGCTACAGGTTCATATTTTGCCTTATTGACATTTTTTGCAAGACAACATGCAAAAAGCACTCCTAGAAGCTGAAGTAAAAAAGAAATTTGTTTTACCAGTTTATTCATATTTAAATTATGTGTGCAAAAAAGCTGCTAAATGAAACATCACATATAAAACTAGATTTACATCAATTTACATGGCTAAGTATTAATAAAACAAATGTATTTTTACAGATTCTGGTCACTATCTTGCAAACAACAAATATTATTATATGCTTCTTTCTCTATGAATTACAAAAAACATCAAACCTTCAGAAATTTCAAATTTATATATTTACTTCAATATTGTGTTGACCAGATAGGTTCCAACCTTTTACAAATTTTATCTATCAAGAAATTAGGCTCTATGAATAAAAAAAATCTAATTATTACCATAGAAACTGTACAAATTGTTTGTTTTCTTTCAAAGTTTGTAGTGCACACTGGTGGGATTTACACATTGTGATAAAAATTTAGATGAACGTCCTTTACACTCCAGTTGTAAATATATTTGTTATTTTTATTACTACCAATGATTCGTTTGTGCGACAGACTCGAGAGATGGAACATCACATTCAATTTTATAAATTAACGTATACTTCAATATCAAACAGTTTGTATGTATTAACCCTGAAGAAGCTGTAAAAGCCAAACATTGGTAGTAATAAAAAAACAAATATATTTACATCTGGAGTGTAATGGTCATTTATCTAAACTTTTATCACAAACTGTACAAATGATTGAAAATATTCACTTACTAATCTTCATATTCACCTTACTTTCTCATCTGAGGTAAAAAATGTAAATTATTATGGAAATAATAATTATATTTAACATTTGTCACATGAACCGATTGTCACAGCAAGGATTAATTAATAGGCAAGCTTTGAAACCCCAAGGTTTTTTTTCATCTCATAGCATCTACTTATAATTTTAATGTATTTTATGATTTCTAAATTTTTTTTTCTTTGTATAATATTACAGGTGTTTCATATAATAACATTTACTTTTACTGACATACATAATCTTGATCAAACCAAACAAGTTAAAAGTAGTACTTATATAATCTGCCTTCATAACCTACCTGGAAACATGCAATTGCTACAGCCCCACCTCCAATAGCTGTCAAATTTTCATTCACAAATTTTGTAACTTTAGCATAGCATCCCTACAAAATAAGAATATTATTACTATTATACTTTTTTTTGCAGAATACCTGCACTGGTTATAAATAGCATTCACAACATTTACATTTTTGGATGAAAAAAAATTTGATACTACTGCAAAGTTAGAAGATTACAAAGAATGATTATTTGACCTTCTTTCATATCAAATATTTTAAAATTACAAACAATTCACACCTGTTATATGTAAGGAAGAAACCTGTTTAGTAAAACACATATTTATGCTGAAAATACACATGTTTGGGTCTTGAGGAAACAGAGTTAACAGCTATGGATTAATCTACACGATATTCTTAGCTAGTTGGTTAAAAGTTTAAACTCGGGTACACTATGCACATATCATGAAGCATGATTTTGTGAATTTGAAAGAAAACACTATCCAGTAAAATTATTCATATTAACATTTTAGTAACCTTAATTTATTTTTCTTTCATGATTAACTGATAAAATGCTTTCTTATTTTTAAACACAAAAATGTTTCAATAGATATAAACACTAAAAAAACTATGATAAGGCCCTGTAATAGAATTTCATTAATGAGAAATGTTTTTTCCAACACAACACAATGCAATTTATAATGGCAAATAAATGTATACAACTGCCATCACGACTACACATTAGCATTCTTTTATCGTCTACAGACCAGCATTTCCAAACTATATTGCTACAGTGTGTACCATACTGCATTTATTACAACATTAACTGAGACCTTTAGAAGTAATATTTCAAAATACTGAAAAATTCACATTAATATGTTCAGATATCTTCATTTCCCCTATACCTGATGGAAGATGTGTGTGACATTTGTCAAAGGATTGTTGTTACAACTCTTCAAAGTTTTACAACAACTAGGTGGAACAGCTTCTATCTTGCCAGACCAGGCAGTGTCAAACCAGTCAGTATAGTTGAACACACCACAGCAGTCAAGCTAACAGTAAAAAATAAGCATATTTAGACAAAGTTATTCTATATTTGAAACTGTTATAAAAGACTACACACATTTGCAATGTATCGATATGTACATAAATATATATATATATATAGTGGTTTACCTTCACTTTTAATTTTTTTAGCTGAATTCTCACCACATTTTCTATTAATATGACTTTTTTATTATTATTATTACAGTCAACTAATAGCAGAAACCTTAGATACTTTGGAAAATGTTTTCTAATGTTATTTCCTATATAAAAGAATATGTTAACAAACTGACCATACAGTGAAAATCTTTAAGACTACAACCTACCACACTTGTTGAAAAGACATACATAATATAAAACTTGAGCTACTGTATTATCAAGATTTGCATTACTTAAAAATTTGAACATTAAGCTTATTGGTAGGACTAATCTCTTGAATGCCTTGATATTTTAACTGACATTATAAAGAAAAGTGTAATTTATTTTACTAGCCTTTATTATTACATTTTTAGTAGCATTACAGTTGTGAAACTTCCCAAAAGATTTTATCATGGAGTACTGCTCTATTTTAGGGATGGGTTCTAAACAGTTTGTTTGAGGTATTATGGAAAATTTCTTCAGATGCTATCTTGCATTTTCATGTGTCGTTTCAAGGTTACTCTATCATATGATGAAACAATGGTTGGGGGGGGGGGGTTTGAAAACATTACTCAGCTCCTGAATTGCTTAACCACGATTGCATCCATAACTTGAAGGTTAATTGAATGGACAGTAATCTTTAGTTCAACATGATTATACGAATAGTTAAGTTACTCATACTATTAACTAGATAGTTTCAAAAGAAATCTAATTACCTAAATAGTATCCAAGCCTATCTGGTTATTTCTCAGATGTATCTCTGGTGACTGTCTACTGACAGATTGTCACCATATTTGATATTGGTGACATTTATATTGTTACGTCTCCGCTTGTTAATTGACTTTTCCGTAACTTCGTTCTGACGAAACTTTAATGACACAAGTCTTT